GGAGGGTGGAGGGACAGCACAGGAGAGGAAGGCCCTCTGTGAGGTGGATTGATTCAGTGACAGGGATAATCGGGATGGGAGTGTCAGAGACAGTGCGATTGGCACAGGACAGAGCAGAGTTTAGGGCTGTTGTACATAGGGTCGTTATGAGTCACAAGCAACTCGACGGCTTGTAACAACAACATACATTTTTGAGATTTGTCCATACCTCTCTGTATTCCTTCATATGGGTACATGTCTAATTGCAGTAGTTGTAATCTTAGATTTTATGAATATAACAGTTCATTTGCGGCTTGTCATTGTTGAGGGTGGTTTTTGGTTTTGTTTTTTTTTTTTTAAATCCATTCTTGTATGGACTGCCAAAAGACCAAATATGTCTTTGAGAGAGTGCAGCCAGGTTACTCCTTCAAAGGAAGAATGGTGAAACTTTGTCATATAATTTGGGCATATTGTTAAGAGCTCAGAAAAATGGAAGGTCAGTGAAGGAGAGGAAGGCCCTCAACAAGATGGATTGACACAGTGATTGTAACAATAGGTTCTAGTGTGGTAGAGTTAACAAGAGTGGCACAGGATAGGGCAGGGTTCACATCTACTGTTCAGACGGTTACTAGGAGTTGAATTGACAACACCTACCACCAACAGCATTGTTCCGATGGTGGGCATTTAGGTTATGGATGTATTCATTCAGTGGTTGTGTAATTGACTGCCATTTCTCATTTATTTTTTTTGTAGTTACATTCAGACCCCCAAGTTCTGTGAATATTCTCCCTCCCATAAACTAAGGAAGGTGACCCCTTCCTCGACCCTGGAAAATCAGCAGTCATGGCCATTCTCCCTTTATTAGTAATTGATTTTGGCATGAAAATACTGATCAGCTGATATAAGGGGAAATCTGGGAGAGGCTTCAGGGAAAGAATTTGAAAAAAGAGGCATAACAGTAAATGTAGCATTAGGTATTTTTTTCAAAGGTAGAATGGTTGTAAGCAGCTGCAGCCTTGAGCTCCAGAAGTGACAAATTTGAAGATGAAGGCATGTAGGTTTTTGATCACATAGTTATTCTAGAGCCTTCTATTTCTCATTTCTCTTGTGAATTTTTTTTTTTTTAACAACACTTCTGGAATGTCTTGCCTCTGGAAACTCCATGTATGAACCGGGCTCAGGCCGTTCGTTCATAGGGTCGCTGTGAGTCGTCTACGACTCGATGGCACCAAACAACACCAAACAACAATGGACATTTTGGTTTTTTGCAGCCCAGATCAACATATCATTAGGTGGTGATTGTTGTTAGGTGCCGTTAACTTGCAAACAGCTCATAGCAACTCTGAACAACAGACCTGAACCTGGCCTTCTCCTGTGCTGTCCTTATCATCTCTGACACGCTTGAGACCATTGCTGCAGTCACTCTGCCAGTCCTTCATATTGGGAATATTCCTCTCCTTCACTGACCATCTTTCCAAGCATGATGTCCCTTTGCAAGAACTAGGACCTCCCCCCCAACCCCCCACTACATGTTCAAAGTAGGAGAGGCGAAGCTTCACTCTGTTTACCTCTAAGGAGCACCTTGGCTGCAATTTCTCTGGGACATGTTTGTTCTTTTGGCAGCCCCATCGGTTATTCAGTTCTCTTCTCCAGCACCACAACTCAAAGGCATTAATACTTTTGCCATCTTTATTTGTTGTCCAGCTCTCTGATACATAGCAGGAAATTGAGAGGACCATGGTCCTCTTAAAGGAGCCCTCTTAAGGACCATGCACCTTAGTCTGTAAAGAGATATTGTTGTTCTTAAGTATTTTCGAGAGGTCCCCCATCAGCAGAATTACCCAGTGTAGTCTTCCGATTTCCTGGCTGCTAGTAGCAGGGTGTGGCTTGTTCCACGCAAGATGAAAGCATTGATAACTTCCATCCTTTCTCAGTAGTTCACATTCTAAAACAGCACATTTCAATCTTAAACGATAAGGATAATTGAACCTCTTTCCTGTGTCTGCGTGCTGGTTTTGCTAGTCACATGTTGGGACTTTTCATAGTTCGTCTGGAGCTTTGGAAGATTTCAGCTTGTCCTCTAAAATACATGTACCCATGTATTCTTTCCTCAACAGTGTAAAATAGTTGCTCTTTTCCCACATGGCATCTTTACTAATTCCTGATAATTTTTGCCCATTCGTGTCATAATGAATTATCTCAATTTGTATTATGTAGACATGTTGTATACCATCAAGTCAGAACTAACTTATAGGTCCTTTTCCAGTGGGGTTTCAGAAGCAGTAAGTCACACCTTTCACCAGTGGACCTGCTGCTGGATTTGAACCACAAGCCTTTGGGTTGACAGTACAACTCCTTAATGCTCAGCCACCAGAGCTCCCTATTATCTAGACTTGTTGTTGTTGTTGTTGATGATTGCCTTTATGTCTAGCATGGCTCATATAGCAACCCTATGAACAAAAGGCCTGAAGCCTTTCTATAACTATTGACATTTATCGAAGTTTGTAGAGTTTCCAGAGGCATATTGTTTAGGAAGTGGAAGCCTAGGGATTTTATGTTGCTGCTCAGTCAACTTTCTTGTTTATTCATTTGTGTAGTTGTCTCCTGGATTTTTCCCCTCCCTTATTGTTAATATATTGTATATTCTGGACACTGACCATTTAAATCCTTTTTGTGTATATATGTATATATATGAATTGAAAATGTTTTCTAGTGTGTGGCTTGTTATATGCCTTTTTATCAAGTCGTTTCTTTTGTAAAGTTGTTTTAAAAGTTTCATTACATAGTTTCCTATGAAGGTGCCCTGGTGGTGCATTGAGTTAAGATGTGGAATGCTGCACTAAAGGGTCAGGTATTTGAACTCATCAGATGCTCCATGGGAGAAAGATGAGGTAGAGTGTGCTTTTGTAAAGGTTCATGGCCTGGGGGGCAGTTCTCCTCTGTCCTGCAGGCCTGTTAAGAGTGGAAATGGACATTTAGGTTGTTTCCAACTCCTTGCTATTGTGAACAAAGCCGCAATAAACATGGGTATACATATATCTACTTGGATGTCATTTATGGTCTCTTTAGGGTATATTCCCAGTAGTGGAATGCTGGGTCAAATGGTATCTTTATTTG